CCAGCTGTCTTTCCTACATGTTCTGCCCAGCCTCAAGTGTGTTCGTCACTCAGCCTCTTTCACGCCTCTTTGTTTAGAGCGACATGGCACTGCAAGCAGCGCTTGAGTCTGAAGATTGGAAGAGCGTGAGCCGCTAGACATTACTTAGGCATTGCTCATGGTGAGTTTTGGAAGTTGGGGCGGTACCAGACATGTCAAGTGCAGGGTGATGCGGTTGCGGTTGATTTTTGTGCCCGAGGACCTGGAAAAATTTCATGGTCGGCTGCAGATGTGAAAGCGACTGCCGTCGACTTGAAAGCATCTTTGCCGCTTTCGGTGACCCAGGTCATCACTGCCAAGGAGTGGCGCGGAGGACCACTTGTCCAGCTTGAGGACACCATTTCTCGCCCTGCTGCCTCAGATTTGATCGTAAATTACTGGTTCATCAAGGCATTCGTTCGAAAGTGCCCCGACAAGGTGCCGTCTGCCTTTTTTGTAGCTGATGTCATACTCTACATGGACCGACTTTTTTGCGAGCGCCTACTGATTGCGCAGAATCCGGGAGAAAACAAAAAAAGCCTCGCCGGTGAAGAAGGCAAGAAGATCAAGGCCCTTATGGGTTACCTCAGATACCTGTGGCGCAGCAGCGCCATGGCAAGATAAGGTTAGTCAATGGTTTTCTCCATAAACAATGTGTGTCAATACGTAATATATACCAAGCAATCTTCCATTTTCCCAGGCAAGACTGGACAACATCCCAAAGTTCAAGAGCTCAAGACTTTTTTGAAAGCTTCGCCTACCAGGAGTGTCAGACACTTAGCGAAAAGGTTTCTCTATGGAATGGAAGTTCACTTGTTGCTCATTGCAATTAAGATTTGCGCGAGCGTTGGAGGCGAAGTCGCATGGGCACGCTGACGAGTCTAGCTCGGACAATGGTGATGAGCAGGCTGAGAGCGTCCATGGCAGCTCTGATGGCCACCTCCCACCGGCCCAGGAGCAGGTGGAGGGTGATTCTGTTGCTTGCCCTGCAGATGATGATGTAAAGATGGTTGAGGCTGCTGAGAGCGACGATGAACTTGATGCAACAACCCTCCCGGGTCCAGGCGATGTTGCCAGCCTTGCAGACGATGACGAGGAGATGCCTCCTTTGGCCCACCCGTCACCAGAGAGGGATCAGGCAAATGAAGAGGCAGATGAAGAGTCTTCCAGTTCTTATGGAGGCTATGACTGCTTCTTTGAGTCGCCCGAGTGTGGAAACAGTGGGCCGCCAAGAAATGAGCTGATCGAGATGTGCTTGGGATTGATGCAATACCTTTCGCAAGAGCACCCAGACATCATGAAGTGCCTTGGTGGAAGGCGCGAATGTGCATGTGACAGAAGAACGAGGGTTGTGAAATGTTGTGCGCGCTGCCATCCTTCGAGGCATTTCCACATGGTGAACTATATGGACCACTGCGAATGGAGCTTCAGCAGATTCGGCATCCGGGCAACAAGTTGGCTGAGCACCAAAGAGCACTTTGCTCGTTGGTTGAAACGATTCAATGAGCTTAATCGCACCAGTGATTGCAATAAGGCGCGGTGCATTTACCAGATTGCCTGCACGTGCTTTGAATGTCTATATATATATATAATATATATTTTCTTTAAATATAACCCTGCAAATAACAGACCAAATTTTGCTTACGGCAGGTCTTGGACGGTAGAGCTAATGCAGATCTCACCGCTGAGACGCATGCTGCAGCTGGGATCGTGTGCCGGAAGCCTGCTGAGGAGGCTGGGTTGAAAGGGTTCACGGAAAAAGTGTTGCTCCAAGCGATGTCAGGTCGGCTCCAACCCGGTCAAGAGGGCCTTGTTCCAGGCTGCTGACGAGGACTCTGAAGGGAAGGGTGATTACAAAGGAACAGGTTCTTCGAGTAGGCTGCCTGTTTTGCAGACGCTGTCGCCTTGCCTGAAGTCAGTCCAAGCTCTTCTCTCTAGCGACATGACGCCATCCCCAGTTGGCATGCAGACAGTTGGCTGGCCAGCAAATTTGTATACAGTTTTTGTGCGTGCGCGTCTATCTATCTATCTATCTATCTTTCAAGCAATCAAGTCACTTCTTTCTTTAGCGTAGCACCTTCATGTCATTTTTCAATAAGCTTTGCAGGACATTCGTGTGTCTCTATTGGCTCAGGCTTTGGGCTTCAAGCGAGCCCGCGAGGAATCTACAGCTGGTGCTCCAAACGGCGCAGGGGAAGGGGCAAAAGCCACAGAACCCAAAGCTAAGAAACCGAAGAATGGCGAAGAGCAGAAACGGGAAAAGACTGAGGAACTCACCATTGCTGGTGATAAGTTCAAAACATATGATTTGAAGGCTTTGCAGGTTCCGTTGGAAGCCTATCCGCAGACTACCAAAAAACATCTTGGCCTGCATGGGTACACTCTTACTGCAGCCAATGGAGCAGTCATTTGGCCTCAACACTGTTTTGGGCTGGAGTGGGTGTTCAAATACATGTCAAGAGTCAATAGCATTGATTCATATTGATTCATGCCCATTGCAGCATGTCCCATCGCTCCTCCACTTCAGGCGATCGAGGTTCTGCTGAAGAACAAAGCCTTTGTTGTCAAGCGCATTGGCGCCCCAGCGAACGGTGAGGAAAACACGGACTCTGAGGGTGGCCGAACTGGTCAAATCACGTGGGCCAAAAGCGGTGGGTGTGAGGCATCGTGGGTGAAGGCAAAGACAATTGCCAAGTGGCCACCCATGTCACCCGCTTCTAGGTAGTTGACCTTGGGTTGTACCTCTGCGCCTGTGAAGTGCTTGAGGGGTTTGACATGTTATTATGTCACAAGGGGGATTGCACTTCTTGAAGGCAAGAAGTGATGACCGTAGAAACCTTGGCTGTCCAAGCTTAGAGCAGCAGGGGGGCTCTAGGTTGCATGACATTGGCTTTGTAAGTGGAAAAACGCAATACATGTACATGGCACCACTGCTGTCGCTTGGCTAAGCCAGGGATGTTTGATGTCGCAACGCCAATGCAGAAAAGTAACTCCTCTCAGCAGCGCGCCAAGCGCAAGCCGCTCAATCCAGAAAGCGCGCGGCGCATAGGGTTCAAAGCGCGACTTCCTGAGATTCTTCGCCAGGCCGCAGTCTTCAAAGTTGAGACCCGAGGACTGGTTTCACTGGGGTCGAGCGTAATATGGCATGGTAATTAGCGTGGACCAGAACCGAAGAGATATACAGTAGAGATAGTAGATAGAAAAAATATGGTAAAGACAATATGGTGAACATGATAATACATGTATATATACATAGTAGATAGTAGATAAAAGAGGCTTCAATCCTTGGCTGCTTCCTTTTAGAAGGCCACACTCTCAAAGATCCCACAACTCAAGACATCTGGATTGAAACTGACAAGGCCCCTAAAACATCAAAAACTCAGTAAACCCTCTTCAAAACATGTGTGTTTCAAAGCGTGCAAGACAACTAAAGTGAAAGATTTCTCATCAAAGCCCTGAAAGATATCCTGGGTGAAATTTTTCGAAGTTTCAAATCAAGGTACCTGATGGGACAACTTTCTCCCAGGACACCCTTTCGTCGACGACCAGCGACCCCAGCGGTGGAGGCCAGGTGAGTCGATCTATTTAGAGTTGTTTGGAGTAGAACAAGCCTGAAGGTCACTTGAGAGAATCCATTCTGAATCCACTCTACACGAACCCTATCTCAAGAGGTTCAATGGGAGTCTATCGTTGTAACCCCACTCCAACAAATATGGTTTTGCAAATTTATCCGACCTGCAAAGATCCCGCCCGCTTCCAAGACACAGGAAGTGCCCATGCAGCCACAAGCAACCAATGCGCTGCAGGTGTGGATCGTGATCTTGATCTTCCCGCTGCCTGTGCGGTCGTAAGCGGGCAGTCAGGCGTGAGCCGACCTTCGTGAGCATCGATGGTTGGGACCGAGTGAAGCCCTTAGCTTTGAAGAGGTGTAATTGGGAACTGTTGACGAGTGTCCCACGATGTTGTCAAAAGGGTCCAAAAAGACATGTTCAGGACACTTGCTGAAAATATTGTTCCTGCAACTGGCTCAACTCAGCATTGGGGGTTTGGATCGTAAACAATCGCAGGCTGTGTTGGGCAGCATGGTGAAAGGTGTTTCTGTAGGCTAGGCGTGCAAATGCCAGTATGCCGTTCAAGCAGAATGGTGCTGCTGGCAAACCAACAACTTGGAAGCAGAAGCACAAGCAATCAGTGCTTGCCGGCCTCCGCTTCATGAAAGCGCCGATGGTCTGGGGCTGCCAATCCTTAGATCGTGTTTTCAACTGGTTTACCCAAATTTGGGACCTGAGTCAATCAGAACCTGAAAGAATAAAGGAGGGTACCCTGAGCCCTGAAGGTGCTGGCTGCCCTTTGCAGTTTGATGTTTGCCAACAGCCAGCTCAATTTTAAGCCCTTGGACCACTTAGAACTTTTTGCTGGCGTGCACTCTATCACTTCTGGTGAGTGGAAGGAGAAGGGTTCCATTCTTGACTCCCGCTTATACTTTCAACCTCCCTTGATGGAAGACTTTCCAAGTGTTTGTGGCTACATGTAGATTTTTGGCAAGTGTGATATATCGCCCCCAATCCCCAGTGGTGCGCCGTCCATGCGTGAGGAATCCCGGCATGCTATTCCGATGGACTTGACGTATGACAAGGATGGAGGCCAAGACATTTTGACACCCGTTGGGTTTTGCAACATGCTCTACCAAGTGCTGTCCCTCAGACCGGGGGGGGCCTTATGGTCTGCTCCGGTTTGCTCGTCGTGGGCGTTTTTGTGACTTGCTTGAACTGGGTGGCAGTTGAGGGTTTCTATATAAATGCCCTTTTCTTCCATCTGAAGGTGTCGAAAACCATAGAAAAAGGGCACTTGCTAGCAGGCCTTTCTAGTTCTTGTGCGGTGGCAAGGTCGCGGGGCAGCACTCAAAGACGAACTGACAATCCCATGGGCTGCACGTCGTCTCCTTCAGTCGCGGCAGGAAACCTGATGGTTGCAAGGCTTACCATTTTGCTGGCCATAGCGGTAGCAAAGAGGTGCATGTGGCCCCTTGAACAGCCAGTGAACAGCTTGTTGGATGGCCACGTCCTCTTTCAACAATTTCTTCGCTTGAAGCAGGTGACATGCTACCGTGTTTCAACTAGCTTAAGCTGGTTTGGCGCTGACACTCGCAAGCCTCTCTGGGTCTATTCAAGTGTTTTGTCCAAGCGTGGCAATTGTTTATATCGTTGAGGGCGAGAGAGGGGGAGAGATAGAAAGAGAGAGAGAGAAAGGGTTTGATGAAGTTTTGGATGTTCAGCGCTAATTCTCCAGTTTTTGCAGAGGCCAATCCACATGCAATTCAAAGGTGGCGCTTGTTGTATCCAAGGCAGACGTGAGATTCAGGAGCTGAATGACTTTGCAGACCGCTCTCTGCGTCCTGAGAACCAATCAGAGATGATTGTGAGGTACGAAGACTCTGAGGGAAAACAGCGGATCAAGGGGGGGTCTGACTTGAAAGCAAGTCAAGCTTATCCAAAGAAGCTCATTCCCACGCAAATAGTATGGAAGTTTCGCCATTCAGTTTCTATGTTTTCTTTTTGATGGAGGTTTCTAGAGTAGTGTTGTAACCTTTCGCTACTCGCTGTGCTCTCAGGTTTGGAAGGGCTTACGCAAGGCTCCGAACACGGCACTTGAGCTTCCTGAAGCGAGTGGCGCATGACCTCCAGCGCAGAGCTGGGAAGTGTAAGCTAAAGGTCAACACCGGTTGCAAAGTAAACAAGATGTGGGTTGACCATGCAGACTTAGATCCAATTTTTGAATTTCTTACCCAGCAACGTTGATTTGTTGCGTATGGGAAACTTGCAACTTGGAGCTGTGTGGTTTGTTCACCACGCAGCTGACTGCACTTAGCTTTGATCACAGGGTGGGGGCTTTGATGTCAAAACAGTCAAGCGGCATGTCAATTGAGTTTGCCTAGTTGGTATGCATGCTGGTGCGCCCTGCTTCGACAGGGCTTGCCATCCAGTGTGCTTCCTCGTGCCTCTTTGCAGGTGGCTGCGTTCAGGATGGGCCGGCTACACCTCAAAAGGGCTTGGTCCAACAAAAG